ATTGGTGGTTTTATATGGAACGAGGTTTCCTGTGTCTCTGATTTTTTTGAATCTACAAAATGAGTTAGTTAACAATCTTTCCAGTTGGCAGCTTTTCATGTTGCAAAATAAATACAACTAAAATATAAATCTAAGAATGTAGTTCAGACAGGCAGAGTCAGAATCACACTGCTTACCTCTGTAAGCTTAGGTTAAGATGCAAAGAATGGACTGTGTCACAACATGAATTACCACCTTCTGTACTCCGCAGCCTGTGGTTCTGCTACCTTTTTTTGAAGTTAAAAGTTTTAAAATATTCTGTATCATTAGAAAAAGTATTTTACAGCATCTGGTACGGACATTTTACCAAGCCAATGTGCCTTACTAAAATATTTTTCACTTGTTATTCATTCTCTTTGTTATTGTAACAGAGATAACAAATAACTGCATTAATTGAGTAGATCTTGATGATGAGAATGTGATATATCAAAGTCTTCCACAAGACTATTACAGAGCGTTCTTTTAAATATGGCTTTATTGAAGCAAAACCAAGAAAGAATATGCTAATGAAGGGGGAATGGTGTTGTTAGTGATTAATCTCTTGCCAGTAAAGATTGTGCAGATTCCTAAATTTTGAATGGTTTAGTTTAACTCTTGCAAAGTGAAAGGCGGCCTTATTCTAACATAATTGCTTAATTAAAAATAAGCTATTAATAATATGGTATTTACATCTATAAACCCTTCTGTTAAAAATTTAATTATCACATATTAAGTATAAGTAGCCAAGCTAGTTTAAGCTTTGGGAATACAGAAAAAATTAGCTGGTTGGGAAAAAAAAGTCTAATGAAAGATTTAATGGGCAGCGATTGATTGGTAATGATGATACCTTCCTACCTTTCACTGTTTCACATTTATGGATGATTGATCCAGTTTGGTTTTGATTAAACTTCATAAGTTTATTCATATAACATTTTAAGAACCAACAATCTTAAGAACCACTGAACTACATCGTAGGTGAAATCCTTTGAGAAAGACAGACAGACGGAGAAAAGGATTTTAGAATCTGACTTAGTAGATCACCTGATCCAGAAGCTGAAAACAAAAACCGGTGATGAAAGATGTAGTAGGTAAGTAGCATAACATATGGGAAATGCTGAACTCAAGCAGTAGTTTGTACAGGTCGTTGATGTCTCCTGCTACCCATGTTTCACTCTCCTTTTTCTGGCCTCAGCCAGTCTTGGCATTTAACTTCATGACTAAGCTGATTCTCAGGTGTTTTGTAATGGATCTATCAGAAGCTGTGAAAGAAAATCATTCTTTCTACAAGTTACCTTATTTCTAGACCCTGAAAAGAGAATAGAAAAACCTTTGTTTAGTACTACTAAACAGAGAAATGCAATAACTATGATTGTAATAACAGTGGCAGATTTGTCTTTAATGATTCTTGAATGTGGAAAGTAAATGAATTCAAACGTATTATTGAAAGCTTCTTTGAATATGCATGCTCTGAAGTATAAATGCTACTTTGATACTTTAGTATTCTGTCACAGAAACCTGTAAGAAGTAGATTAAATTAATAATTCAGAGAGAATATTATCATAATATATTTTTGTATTAAGATCTAAATCACTCTTGAGTGATAGGGAGCTCATATTTTTGTATCCATAGGAAGCATTTCTTCTAGACCTGATTTGTTTTGATGTAATTTTGTATGATTTCCTGTCAGTTCAAAAAAAGAATTTAATCTGCAGATATGTGCTAGGAAGTGTCCATAAACTAATTCATCTGTTGGAATTAAATAAGTATGAATGATAATCTGAAACTATTGTCCTATTACAGTATTTCTTTATTATTGTAAATTTGTTTCCTTACCTGTCTTTGTTTATTTTTAGAGAAACCTCAGATAATCTTCCAGTACTAAATCAAAAGGGATTGTTTACTAATATTTCAGGTATTTAATATCTAGTTTAAAAACATACAAGTTCTTTTTCTTTCTGCTCAAAACTATTTTATAAGAAAATATTGCTGGAACAATTAATTTTAAAAATATTACCAAAGTCAGAGTAAGAAGATATTTTATAGCAGAGCTTCTGGTTAGAGACACTGCCTCTTAATCTCAAATGTTGTTCGAAGTGATTTAAAACTGAATTTTTCTCCACGCTAGCAAAATAAGTGCTTAAACCAGTGAACAGAATATTCTCCATACAAGCATTCATTGATGCAGTGATCCAGGAGGGGGGGGAAAGCCAAACCCACAAACTTCTCCTAGCTGAGGAGAAATTAGATGTCATCCTGATAAAAAGTAACTTGAGTTGTGATTGTTACGGTGTTGAGTCCCATGTACATTGCCCTACTAAAAAAATCTAAAAATAACACTTTTTTTCAAATGAAAATACCTTTACATTTCTAGCTATGGATTTGCACTCCTTAATTTGATAATACAACTTTGTATATAAAGAATAATATTAAGTATCTATTGTGTGGATAAAGTTTGGTATTCTTGATAGTTACTTTACTGATATAGTGGGCGGTGGTGGTTGTTTTTGAAGAAATATTTCACACACACACTTGCTTAACAGTGAGGGAAAGAGGTGGCCGTGTTTAACTTGGGGTTTTGTGTGTGTGTAATTACCAGAAGTGGCAATTTGAATTTCAAAATAAGATATTTCAAATTTTAATTATTGAGGGGAGTTCTGGTTTCTTGTTTGTTTTGTCATTGATTCGGCAGTGGGACTGAGCATTAAATGGCTGCCTCGTTCTTGAAATAGCTTTTCTTTTTTTGATGTTTGGTATGTTGCATTCCTTTGTGAAGTTCTGCAAGCCATTTGGAACCTTTCATTAGTTTCAGGGAAAACTGATGTAAAATACCAAAGTTCTTAGTCTTGACAACCAGTCCTTCAAAGTCATAAGTGAGCATTTGAGAATTTACGTGCACATCTCACTGTCCTGTAAGACTTTGGAGGTTTTCAGCAGCTTTTCAAACCCTGAATATACAGATTTTATCTTATTAATATTTGTGAATTTTCAGTTTCTTACTACTTCTTGTATAAAGTAAGTTTTAGTTTATAATTTGTGTTTGCATTTTAGGTGTATTTGAATCACATGGAACTCTCGTAGTGCCTAACGTTAGTGTTATAGCTCCTGAAAAATTATCTGCCAGTGCCAGGCGTCGTCAAGAAATTCAGGTAACAGACACATCAAATAAATATTAAGAAGTGTTCCTTAAAAGTTAAGGAATGGTAGAATTCATATTTCCACTACTACCTAACTTACACAAATTTATCCTATTTGTTTATTATTCATAAAATAAACTAGGAACAACACAAAAGGTTGAAGGCAAAGACCACCTTTTTTTAATGTTTTGGATATTGTGGCTCAGCCATTCTTGTGTGTACGTATTATAAATCTTATTCTACTTGGAACCATGGTTCTGGAACTTCCCTTTTTTTTTTCTTTTTTGTCTTCCCCTCCCCATCCCTAAATGCTGAAGTGTGTTAAAGGTTCTTGTGATTTAAATCCAGTCAGCAAAATCAAGACTCACGCAGCCACTTGCTCACTCCCCCACCAGCAGGATCAGGGAGAGAATTGGAAGGATAAAACTAGAAAATTCACGAATTGAAATAAAGACATTTTAATAGGGAAAGCAAATCTGGACACACAAGCAAAGCAGAACAAGGAATTCATTCACCACTTCCATGGGCAGGCAGGTGTTCAGCCATCCCCAGGAGAGCAGGGCCCCTTCACGTGTAACAGTTACTTGGGAAGACAAACACCATCACTCCAAAGGTCCCCCCTGTTCCTTCTTCCGCCCACTTCATGTACTGAGCATGGTGTTATATCGTGTGGGTCACCTGTCCCGGCTGTGTCTCCTCCCAACCTCCCAGGCACCCCCAGCCCCCTTGCCAACGTGGCAGTACAAAAAGCAGAAAAGGTCTTGGTTCTGTGTAAGCCCTGCTCAGCAATAACAAAAACATCTCTGTATTATCAACCCTGTGTTCAGCACAAATCCAAAACATAGCCCCATGCTAGCCACTGTGAAGAAAGTTAACTCTACCCCAGCCAAAACCAGCACAAAGGTGCCAGTTCATCATACTTCTAATTTGCAGTATGTTTGTAACAGATACTCGGTGTATTTTATTTCATTCTGTTGCCTTAAAACTAAAGGCCTAAGAAAAAATTGCAGCTTTAAAAAAACCAAAAATCCCCAAACCAACCAACCAAACACAAAATCAAAACCCACAAAGCTGCCTAAAACATGACATTATAGTAACGTAGAAGAGATTTGGTGATGCTAGAAACAAATGTCAGAGTTTTCTCCTTTAGGATTATTAATTTCAAGATATTTAGAGTATATGGTAAACCAGAACTGTAATTTTTTCCCCCAACTTGGATGTGCAACAAAAAAATCTCCCCTATAAATAGTACTTGAAATCCAAATAAACAACTGATTGTTACTCTCTGAGCTTTGAGCTAAACAGACTTACTGTTTTATGTTTTGAATATGTAAAAGCAACTTTTCCAAGGTACGAAAGACAACATAATGCAAGGCTCTGACTACATTTGTAAAGTGCTACCTTTGCAGGATCACTAGCTTGCTCTGGAAAAGTGTTACAAGGCATGACCCATTTTTTGGTTTGACTTTTAAAATCAGTCCTTCTTCAACTAGAGATGATTCACTGTATACAGTCACAGGTTCTCACGTTCCTCTGAAAAGTTATCCAACACCCAGAAACACAAAGGCAGTTTTCACTAGGTATGTGAGCATCCACGTTGTAACGTGCAGTTGGTTCTGTCAGCTTTAGCACCATGCCAGTATTGTCAAGTGTTTACAATTGCTGCAAGAGTGGCTCAGCCCCAGTCTCCTTCCTCTCTGCTCATCAAGCATTATTGTGACATTGTTACTGGAAATTATATTAAGCATGAATTTTAATTTAAATATTATACAGTTCTAGATCTTCTGTTAGAAGCAGCCTCTTCTGTTCTCATCTGTGAAATAGAAAATCAGCACTTAAAACCCATCGTCACACAAGCAGTGTATTTTAATTTTGCCAATCTTTTGTTCCCAGGTGCAAACAAGACTTCAGACATTCATTTCTAGCCTGCAACAGAAAACAAGTGAGATTGACATTTTAGCTGTAAGTATTTGGCAGAAGCCTGAATTATTCCAAAGTTTTAATTGAAATGGATGATGCAGTTCCTGTCTGGAACAAACTACTGCCAATCGCCTCACTTTAGAGATATCAAACTTCTGGTTAAATAAGACCCATGGCCTGTTTCTTTAATACTTGAAAAGTATTAAAGGGATGTATGGGACAGTTGCATAGAACAAAATTTAACAAGTATTAAGTTGTAAGCTCTTAGGCTGTAATTACACTAACTACTGTGGTATATTTAATAACTTGTTCCTGCTAGATTTGCACTTCCATTTAAATCGACATAGCTCCTGTCTATATATAGTTTTTAGACTTCACTGACAGTGTCACAAAGGCCTTTAAAATGGTATATGCTTTTCGGGAAACATACTGCCTATTTGCTGGCAGCTATCTAGAACTTTCCATAATGGACACTGTGTTTAAAATTATTGTAAATTCCTAGTTCCATCAGCATGAGTGCTTCTTTGGAAATCAAAAAGTCTGGCTCACCTGGCAAACTCATTGAACAGAGAACTGTTAAGTACTGATTTCTTGGTATTTTTTCAGGTAGATCTGCCAAAAGCAACTGTGATACACTTCTTATCATTAGAGGTAAGCAATTAAGTAATGTAGTTAAAATTCTAATTAAACAATAGATGATAAATTCTGTTCCTAATGAAGTGGAATGTAAAATTCACCCATTGTAGTTTTTTTCTTTCAAGGAGGTTGAATTAGGTTTTAAAACTTGAAAGGACTGTTTTACCCAAGGAGCTTGACTGAGACTAGAAAAACCTTTTTGTCAAATATCCAAGTTACACAAGACAGCATTAGGAAGTCCTAATCCAAAGCTCTGGGGTTTTTTTCCCAAAGAATAGTTAACTGAAATTAAATCTTAACTGCACTTTTTCAGAAACCAGTAAGCATTAATGGCTATTTCAGCAAAGGTGTTTCTTGAAGCTGTTAATGAAGGAGGACCCAAAATACAGAGGCAGTTGTTTCAAGTACAGTAGTTGAAACATCTCTTAGTGAAGCCACGATAAAAAGCGAATGTATAAATAATATATAGGCACCTTTAACAACTTGGAAACTGCTCAGTGGTGGATAAGGGGGGATGACAACAACAAAGGCAAAGCTTTCTTCTTTCCTCCAATGACAGCACTCACTATGTTTAAAGTCAGAAGCTCTTACTGGAGAGATGGATGCCTCCCCAACCCCTGGAAAAAAAACAAACTCAAGAATGGCATCCTGGAAGTGCATTTAGTATTTTCAGACCTTTCATTTGCTGCTCTGAAGCAGTCCTTGTCTGGTAATCAAAACCCAGTGAAACATTTCAAGACATTTTCAAAATATTTAGTTCATCCAGTCTGCCGAAATCATGGAGATAGTTTATCAGCTTTCAGTTAAAAAATAATTAAATATATATGCACACTATTAGCTTGCATCATTCACTTTTGATCACCGTTACATCGCAGTTATTATATTCTGTCCAGCACTGCAAAATTGATAGAGCTGTTTTCATTGTTTATGCCTTTTTAGCACTAAAATTTGTTAAGAAACTGATCCCTAAATTCTTAATAAAGTTGCAGGTGTTGTTGGTATTCATATCTTTGAAAGCTGTTTAATTAAGGAGCATTGACATTACACAATATTGAGAAGACTGCATGCTATCCGGTGAAGTTCCTTCACAAGAGAATGTAAGACAAGTTCCTTGTCAATTTTTTTTCTTAGCTTGATGGAGATAGACAAGCCTTTGATGCTACTGTGAGACAGCTGATGTCACGATGGCCCAAACAGAGATGTTCATACTTACAAGCAATTTGTGATGAAATTTACAGTATCAAAATGGAAAAGAGGTAAATTTGTTAAGCTCTTACGGACAGGTACATAAACCACTTTTTTTCTGCATTCAGACTGCTCCTACTTTGTCCTCCTTTTTCCACTCTCCCTGAGGCAAAAATAAATACTCAGTATAGTTCCTTGAAAAGTATGGGAAGAGTTTAGTGGTCATCTAACCCTCACTTACTGGTAAATTCTTCATTTTTATAAGCCCTTTCAAGAAACTCTAAAATGTATTGCCACTTCTATCACACTTGCTGCTGTGTTAATAAAACTTAATAGCAAACAACTATATGCAGTCAGATATATTGCTATACTTAGCAGATATACTTCTTTGTAAATATAGTGTATGTATATGATGGTATACATATATGCATGTATATATATATATACACACATACACACATATTTACTGCTACGTAATAAACCCTCTTTTCTGATGAAGCGGACTCAGCTTGCCTTTTAAAACTCATGACGACATTTAATTCCTCCTGCTTTGAAATACAATAGCAGTTAGGCACAGCTAAGAGTGCCCAGCTTCAAGCAAACATGTACAGTAAAGCCCATTTCTATTTTCTAAGCATAAAAGCATATATGTTCAACTCATAGTCTCCTTGTTGGATTCTGGCAAGGCTGAAACCCAGATAGTCCAGATAATATGGACACATCCAGTACATCCAGTTTTAAACCTCAAATTGTCAACTGTTGTATGTACTGGTACAGTTAAGTGAGTGAGACCTGGGTATTTATGCATTTTCTTAAACCTATGTTTCACTTGAATGTACTACTTAACCTTTAAATAAGACTAAAAGCTGACTTTGGTTCCTTTTTCTTAGATGCACCAAAATCCTTCATGTTCGCTAACATTTACTATGGCAACTAAAGAGCAAGTGAAGCATTTTTTTTTTCTCCCTGGGGCTTGCAGGGCTGGAAGCAACAGAACTCAATTATTACATACAAATAATATTCCATACAGTGTTGGGTCTGAATGTAATGCAGTCCCTGAAGTCTTACTTTTCCATTTGATGCCTGAGCACTGCTTAGTCATAAGCCTTCAGATCACTGAATGAAAACTGAACAGGCTAGATCAATTGAAAAAGGATGAAGGGGAAAATTGCAGTGACAGCCTAACAAAGACTCACTGATTTTTTTCTACTCAATCTTTGCTGTTATTTTATTGCGATGATTTGTCACAGGAATTGTAACTTTTGAACCTGCAGTTTCAAAGTTTTAAAATTTTCTTTTTTTCCTTCCCTCTGCAGGGTTCCTGCACTTATCCTGTACAGTTACCGAGACGAATACAAGGTTTTGTTTTAGTACTTAAGGCATCTTTTATGGGATGCTCTTAAAAATGGACAACAGTGTTTTGTCAAAAGGAATTTCAAAAAGCTGTAGTAATGCAAGATGGGCAACTAGTGCCTTTTTCTGTGTCCAAATTGAATTTCATTTATATTTTCCTGGTTCTGGCCAGGACAGGGATAATTTTTGCTGTAGGGGGGAGGAGGTGTGGCCAGGACCCAGACATTATTCTATAGGGAGAAGGGGGTCTCTTCCAGGTCAGCATAGTGTGGCAGAGGGAGCAGTCAGGCATTGTTTCCGTGGGAATCGTTTGCCTCTTTCTTATATCCTCTGTTATTAGTATTGTTGCTGTTCCTGTTTGTTTTCATATCTTATTGCTGTTTCCAGTAAATTATTCTTAGTTCAGCCTGTGATCTTTACCTTTTGTGCCCCCAATTCTCCTCTCCAGCCTGCCAGAGGGGAAGGGGAAGCAAGCAGCACATGGTTTCAGTGGAAGCACTAAACTGGAGAATACCATTCCTAAAGCACAGCAGCCTTATTGGAGAATACCATTCCTAAACCATGACAAATGTAAAACTGTATTATGTCAAAATGTGGAAATAAATGTGTTTTATAGGCAATTAAGGAGTGAGTCTGACTATAGCCACAGCTATGTATTACCATGTAATTCTTGCCCCTTATGCTACAAAAATCAGCTGTACAGGTGTAAAACTAATTTTTTAAAATAGTTTCAGACTGCCTTTTATGCAACAGTAGTACTGCAATGAGAAACCTCAGTTCAAGAACTAGGGAGAATAAATTGCCTTCAACTATGACGAACTGTTGTAAACTTTTTTGAAGAATTTTTATGTAATAAAAGGTTTAGCTACTGAGCCTTCTTGAAATATGCATTACAAGCTATTGGTGTGTGATTTTTTGGGGGTTTTTTTGTTTGTTTTTTTTTTTTAAACCTACTGTTCTAATTTATATATAAAATATGGCAGATTTCAGGCTGAGAGCTGTTACAAGCCTGGCTGCCTATGCCTGTCCTGTCTGTACTTATGCATTTAAATCAAGCTTCTGTGAGACAAAGACCTGACAGAAGCAAGCACTTGTTTCAGACCTGCAGGATCTAAACCTAAGAGAAAGAGTAATCTGCATGTGCTTGAGGCATAACCAAAGTTTTGACCTAGCTTTCCTTACCTGGGTTGTCAGATTAAGTTTGAAGTCAGTAATGATGGGAATATTATAATTATCTTCTTGAAGCAAGTAGCACAACTCCATCAGGAAAAATGAAGCTGAGAATCTGAAGATGAATTATAGCAGCCATAGTTAACTATGCATTGTATTTCACATCAAAGTGAATATGCAAAATGAATATGCAGAAATGTTAGAGATTTCTGGAAATATACTGGTGTTTACCATCCCTCCCCACCTGCTACCTTCTGTTTAAACAGCCTACCCCTCTTTCCTTTTCTAACTCAAATGACTGCCATTAGCACTGCAGGCTCATTGTATTAAGAAATATCTACTTACTAATTTCTGCTCTGCTCTTTTAGTAAAGAGGAGTGCAGAGTTAAAATATAAAGAGGTAACTTTAAAGACAAACCCAAGAACTTCTGAGAACTGTGAAAATTGTAACAGCAACACCCAAAGCAGCATCAGCAGAATCAATCCTAAAGGCACAGATAACTGTACCATTCCTAGTAATTCACCAAGACAAGTCATTACAACCAAATCCATTTTTCATTATGTTTAATAGGAACAATTAAGTATTTTTACATCTGCTCATATGAAGGAAGGAAAATTCAGATCCCCAAATATATTGAAGGATGAAGTTTAAAAAAAAATAAAAGTTTAGATGACATGAGCATTTTTAAGCCATGTCTGAAGGGAACATGATGCAAAGTCCTACCCTCCCCCCCGCCAGGGCGAGCACAGCTGGATCAGCATGGAGTGAAGGCACAGCTGCCTGGCTCTACAAGAGCTCGAGCACTGTGCTGGCTGCCTTAAGGATATCCACACTACATCATGTAGACATGTCCCTCAGGTTAAGACACACAAACAGGAAAGCAGCTGTTCCTGATAATATGTTGGCACCTGCTTTCCCTGTTATTACTGAGGCTCATGTATAAAACTAGGCATCTGTCACTGGGGCTCCTCCTCCAGTCATATTTTGTTTCTGGTATGGTGCATTTCTCTTCACCCTGTGTTACCCCCCAAACAGGTTTTACAAACAGCAGCAGTATAAATACAAAACTTCTGAGTCTAAAACTATTTTAGTATAACACTGTACATACTCCTGCCACACCACAATCCAAAGAAAGCACCTCTGCTATCAGTTTAAACAAAAGTACTGATCATATCCCAGTATCCTGCTGGAAGGAAAGCCAAAGACAAGTGGTAACTCAAAAAGAAATGGACTTTGCTTTGAGTGAGGGTCAAGTCTGTTATGGTGATGGTAGGACACTGTTCCATCACTGTGTTGCTTTACTTTTCTTGGTTTTGCTTTTCTTGTCTTTTTTCTTCAAGCCATCCATGTTAGCCCTCAGCAGATTTGAATATGCCTGAAACAACAATAGGAAGCATTTATAAAAACCCAAATATTTAAATGACAATATGTGAGAAGTAGCATTTTACATACTACTAAGGGATAGTTATCTGCATTTTCTCAGAATAACGCTCTTACACCCTGCGCTGCGAACATACTGTTTCTAAACCAATGCACAAAGTCAGATAAAATAAAAGACTATTTTTTAAACAAATGCAGATGGATGAGTAGTCTAAGGTTAATCTATATAGCAGTTCAGCACAGAATCAACCTATTCACAGCTGTGCAGTGCTTCCAGCTGACCATTAACAATACCTGCAGAAAGGGAAGATAAAAGGCATACAAAACTTACCATCTGGAATTTATTTACTTCCTTTGAGCTCACCTAAAAAAGTAATACTGAAGGTTAACCAGGAAAACTCTGGCTTGCATTACAAACCAAGTATCGCTACATGTTTATCCACCAGATAGCATATAGTCTTTCTAGCAGCAGTTGGGTCCACTCATTACATTCAGTGGCCAATAGGCTGGGCTGATATAAGACTTCGCTCATTTAGAAAGCTGAAAATGCTACTTGATTAACAAAATCCTCTAGAGGCCATTCATCCTTAATCCATGTGTTTTCAAATGGGAAGAATGTGAAGGAACATTCAGAGGAAGGTTTGATTAACTTGTAGGGCCATAAAAGCACTGCAGCCCAGATTCGCTCAACCATTTCTCAAAGTAACATTTTTCCTTGTGTCACATCGCATTGGAGAGCTAAGGTCAGCTAAATACTTTCCCAATCCCTCATTCAAAGTAAACACACATTGGGTTTTCAACTTCTAGTTAACAGTTTCTGAAATTTTACTTAAAATATAGAGCATTAAATCAAAGACCCATAAGGCCACTAATCTTTCTAACTCAAAGTTGTCACTTACCACTGTGCTAATTTTCTTCTTTCCATCAGTTGCCCTTAGAAGACACTTATTGTCTGCTGGTTCAAAACTTTCTACGTGGCCTTTGCGTGGGACTGGTTTTGTTCGGCCATCATCTGTATTGAAAGAGAATGTTTATCTGTATTTCGTTAAAATCAAGAGATGCCTTCTGACATTAGATGTTAAAAACATGCTCAGGATCTGTACAACACCTTGGAATTCAAGGCCATCTGAACTGACAAACTGTTCACAGACCTCTTACTCTGTAACCCCAGAAGGATCTGTTCCATGAGCTACATCTGCCAGAAAAAATAAAGTAAATCCTCACCCTGACATGCCATGTGAACCACCTGCTCCAGCAGCAGTGTGCTTTAAGTGCATGTCATCCTGCTACCTCCCACACAGGGCCTCTCAAGTAGTGCCAGCTAGCCAGGAACCAGAGGAACATGAACAGACCAAAGCAACACTGGAATTTTCCTTGTATAGAAATGTAGTGCTTTTCAATTATTGTTTGGCAATCAGAAAGTCCCATATCTCCTGCACTCTGAAATACAGTCTTACTCAAAGTTTATTAGTACTACTAATGGCAGTACCATTAGTACACCAGCTGACTGGTTTGTCCCTATGACTGCTCTTGTTTCCAGACACCCTGGATTACAACTATATCTTTTAAAATACCTGCTGACAACACTCAATCAGGTGTAGAGGAACACCTCCTTAGTCCAGTACCAGATTCAAAACTTACATTTCTTCAGCGTTATGAAAACACTCCCGGAAGTTCTGCACTTTTGGAACAGCCTGGTAAGCTCCGTCAGGAACTGCAAGAGAAAAGAGACCCGACCGTGTTTGGGGAGCACCACACAACGGCGAGCCCCTCTGCCCGCGCAGCCCCTGCCTCGCCCCAGGCTCTCCATGCCGCAGGAGCCAGCGCCGAGGGAAGGCGAGCTCCCGGCTTTCCCCACGCCGGAGCTGCAGGACACGAGGCCGCAGCCAGGGGCGGCCCGGCCTGGTCCGCGGCTCTGACTCCGGACAGGGGATCTGAGCTCCCCGCACCTCCCGCGGCCCCGGCGCTCCTGCCCTGCCCCCGCCCGAGTCAATGGGCACAGCGACGCTCGCCCTCTGCTCGCTCCGCTCCCTCCCCCGCAGCGGCTCCCCCGCCGCCGGGGCCGACCGCTGGGCTTTGCGGGCCCCCTCCCTCCTCCCCACCCTCCTCCTCTCCCTCGGTGCCCCCGCGGCGGCACAGGAGCTCGCCCCGCGCTCCCGGCGCCGCCCGGCCGGCACCTGCTCGCTCTCCAGCCAGCACACCATCGCTGCCGCGCCCGAACCAGCGCGCGCGCAGGCGCAGGCAGCGGCAAGCGCCACGTCAGCGGGGCTTGGGCGCTCACGCGCGGCACCCGCCCGTGGCACCGCCTGTAGCACCGCCCGCGTTGCACCGCCCGGTGGCACCGCCTTTGGCCGCCTGGCACCGCCTCTGCACCGCCCTCTGGCACCGCCGGCACCGCCCTGGCACCGCCTCTGCGGCACCGCCGCGGGGCTGCTGCCGCACGCGCGGCGGCCTCCACGCCGGGCACTGGGAACCGGCCGGGACCCCCAGGGAAGCGCCGAAGCGGCCTGTGCCAAGCGCCCTGCTGAGCGCGGCTGGCGCTGAAGGGGGGGATTTGAGACTAAACGAGCCAGATCCCTGGACTTGTACAAGAAACCTGCGTCTGGCAGGGGCGAGAGGGCACTTCGCATCCCTAACACTTGAAGCTCCTGAGGGGCGGGTTCTGGGAAAGGGGAGTTTTCAGTCAGGCCCGGGTTAGTCGACGCGGAGCACACGGAAATAGCGTGTGATCTACTGCCTTTTTGTGTTTCTCACTAGGAAAATAGATTTATTTTTCCTCCGTGGACCTAACAAAAGTGAAAGATTGTGCCTTGCATACAGATGAAAGGGGAAAGCTGCTCTCGGGTTCATAGGTGCTTGAGCCCCTGAGGAATTCATCCTGTTCATTTATGAGCTCTGGTCTGTGTTCTTGTTCTAGACAGAACTAAAATACCTTCTTGCGTTATCATTCTCATGGTGGGAGTGTTGTTTAATATACAAAACAACACTAGATAATCAGAGCCTAGTCTTTTTTTAGAGTTCACTATTATTCTCTGTCCTTTTGCAGGGTAAGCGGGAGGCAGTAGAGGGTGCTGTGATTGCACACACAGAAATGAAACTGCCTGAAGAACAAGGAAACAAATACCCAAGAAGCAGGTCATCACAACATGGCCATGGTTTACCAAAATCTATCAGGTTATTAAGGTAACTCCATTATGTTGGAGTCCAAGGGAGTGTAGGGATCCAACACTGCCTTTCCCTTACTGTGGATGGTATTGTCCTCCTGATGTTTTTGCACTTGTGTTACTTGCAGTTGAGGAGGAAAGACTTCAGCAAAATAAATTCCATTGTTTCTCATAGCATTAAAAATCTCATAAAAAACTACGGAATGTATGTTAAGTCTTCTGAAAACGGGCCTTCTAAGGGGGCACTGTCAGTGCTGTGGTTGGAAGTACTGATACTCCAAAGCCTTGTAGAATTGTAGAAAGTGATGGTCCCTGCCCCTACCAGCTTACAGTCAGTTGCCACAACAAGTGAAGATGGGTGGATTCTTGGAGTCATTGCTTACACGTACTTCCTCTAACCCTGCCTCACTGCAGGAGCAGTCATAACAAACTCACTACAAGAGGTTATTTTGTCAGGAATCAGAGTAGGGTCGTGTTTTCAAGAAAGCTCTGAACATAGACAATGTAAGAGCGTTGCAGATTTTTACAGGCAACTTGTGAAAGAAGAGCAGAAATGGAAAAACTAAAACAATTGCAACATACTCTCTCTTGGAAGCTACCATGGTCACAGACACTGGAAGGCAGAAGTACATTTCCACTCATGCTTGCCAAAAGAGATGATGGGTGGTCTCATAGCTGAAACACAGGGACTACAAACTCTCACCTGAATTCTGACTCGAATTCACCATGAGTTGCCATTAACTGGTCTCCTAACTTCCCTGTGCCACAACTCTTCTTTCATAAAGGTGGGGAAACATATATAGTTATTATCTAAATCTTTTACATAACAAAAAGCATCAATGCCTGTGGGATGAGCACCACAGAGGGGTTTTTTTCCCTTTTGCACGAAACTCTCACCTCTCTGTTAGGTGCTACTTCATTTGCCAAAGTGTCCCTTCAGGACATCATGGCTGTAGTTGTGCCCACCTTGATGTAGCTGGGGTGTCAGTAGCAGAGTAGCTACTGCATCAGAGACTGTACAAGGATGCATGGCATTTACCTATCCAGGTAGATTCCTTGCAGGAACCCATGACACCAAAGCTCTGCTTCTGTTTTATGCTGGAAGAAGGGACAAAGGGGAAACCTGTGAAGAACTCCAGAGAGTTGCATAAAGTTTACATTTTTCAAATCTGTTGTTTTATCAGCAATTTTTTTGAAAATGTATTTGTCTCACTGCTAATAAAAGCAGTGGCTCCACTGAACTGCTGAATTTCTTTCCACAAGAAAGAAGGAGGATTTTATTTTTTTTTTTTTTTTGCATGCATGCGTGTGTGTTAGCTTATCTTCCAGATCTTGAAGCTGTTTTTCAAGCCAGAATGTCACAATTTAATTGGACGAGAAGCCTTAATCACAACTTGCAAACAAGGTGAAAATGGAACATTTTTAACGATTCCTTTCCAAAAAATAAATGGAACAGGGGAATGCTGACATTGCTTTACTTTTGCCAAAGGCTGCCAACACTCCGAGGGAATAAGCTATTCAGCTGGCGAAAAAGTGCTGAACAAACACTGAAGGAGCTAAAGGGATACTCCCAACCATGATATACTCACTTTTCACTCTATCTCCTGCGCCAGTCTAATGGCTTTCCCCTCACTCCCTGCCCTCAGGAAAAAAAAGGGGGTAAAAAAGGAAAAAAAAGAACAGAAAAGACAGGTTGGATTAAAACAGTAGCAAGAGGAATTGGTGGATCCTGAGAGTTGGCAGGGGTATTAGTATTTTGTAACCTGATCTGTCATGTGACCAGGGCTAGGCAATAAAAATAAGTCTCCTACCAGCCCTCCTGTTTGCTCGACTTTATTATATGGTGTCAGTGGAGAACTAGTTTCTTTTTTTTTTTTTTTGGCAAAAATTTAGCAAATGAAGCCACCTGAATCATTAAATCCTGAAGGAAATCTGGCAGAGAACTGGAGGAGGTTGTTGCTGCGCTTCCAAGTTTTCCTGGAAGCAAGCATGTACTGAAGAGAAAACGAGAGGGTGAAACCTTCTCCTCTTCTAAATGTGGTGGGAGGGGCAGGAAGCAGAAAAACAAAACTATTAGAAGTAAATTAAATTCTTGATCAACATTAGTGGAGGTTGGCAAAGATCTATTTGAATTAGCCAGCAAAGATTACTTCTCGTTATGGACTACCACACACACACATTCAGCTGCCGCACACCACAGTGAGCAGAAATGTAATAACATACTGTGAATTACAGTTTGCTCACCACAGTGCTCAAGATGAGTTAATAACAGATAATGGCCCACAATTCACAAGTGGATCATTCTGGTAATTCTCTTTGATCTGTAAGTTCAAGCATACCACGTCAAAGTATAGCTATGTGCAGGAAAAAGTCAGTGTTAGAGCAAAACCCCAGTAACAGCCTCCCCCCCTTCCAAGTCTATCATTAGCTCTGTAAAAGCAGAGATGCACACCTCACTGCCTTACTGGCCTCACCAGATCTGAGATTAATGGGCAAAGGAAAAGCCTTCCAGAGCCAACGTTTAACAGCAGCTGGTTGGGCAGAAAGGCTGTTAACCCTGGAATAGCTATCAAAACATCCTCTGTGCCAGAGAAATAAAGAAAAGTTTTAACAAGAGGCATGAACAGTTATTCTTTTTTCTAGCATTAGGTGGATTTTCAACAAAGTGATTACTGGGTTACATTTGTAGAGGTGAATGTCAGTCCTGAGACTGGGTCTTAACCTTTTTTATAAGTGGCCCTTGTAAAAAGAAACAAAGGACATACAAAGTGATGATGATCAGAGAGCTGTTGAAGAACATAGATACAGAGGCACAGAGCAGTATTGCTTGCCTGATCAGCTGGTAAGAAAAAGAGAGACATTCTGAATACCTTATAAGTTCCAACAGAGAACTAAAGGCATTTTAGAAAGATCTTTCTGAGACCATGATATGCCACCGGAAAGTTGCTGAGCTCCTCGTGAGAAGGCCAACTTCCAAAGAGCTCTCCTCAAGAAACAGGAGGTGTTCTATCTCGTGTTAGGAGCAAGTTCATGTACCCTGAGCTCTTTCCCAAATACTTCTGTTCATCTTAGTGAATCTGTCCTATTTTATTTAATAGCATGTTATATTTACACAAAATGAGTTTCAAAGATAGGTTAAGTAAACCCTTGAGTTCAACAGGCACTGACTTACACTGTGTAATAGCAATGTTAATAGTGACTTATATTTTGTGAGGGAGACTAGAAAATAGGTACGGGTAAATTTCTTAAAACTCTAATGCACCATATTACTATTGTAGTGCAAGCTGAAGCCTATCTGGGTGAGACAAAAAGATTGTTTGTTGGAAAAGGGCTTCATGGTTTTGAAGTACTATCCATATTTTAGAAAGCTTCCCTGTCAAGGAAGACAAGGGATGTATATTTACCATATTGTTATGTGTCTCACACATGCTCAAAATGGTTTTGTAACAAGCCCCCATCCCACAAAAAATGGGGGGAAATAGGCCAAAAGAAAAGCAGCCCAGATGTGGAGTTGGTCATCTGTACAAGTGATGGCATCATCTGTACTCTCTAGGGAAAGCCTGCAATGGAAGGTATGTACTGAATCCATGAATAAAGTTTTAGTGCACAACACACTTCTGAAAACAGTGAAATTGAAGAGCCAATTCACTTAACACCCAGAGCATAAGAAAGGGCCTAGGGACAAGAAGCAACATGTCACCGTATGTGTTTAGTTTTGAAGGACAGCAAAAGACAGTCTCACAGACTCCCAAACCAATGCAAAATACTGCAGGAAAACAGGTAAAAAAAAAAAAAAAAAAGAGATATGCAGTTTGAACATCCACACTGTGTTTTGAAGGTACGTTGCTCTCAGTAACTTTCATGAGTGAGTAGAGTAAGTGTAGTGTAAGAACAGCGTGTTCTGAAGAAGTGCACCTGTAAGGTAACACAGCTGAGCTGTCCTGTCTTGTCCCTGCTGCTGCCCTCCTCTAGCAGCCTCTCTGGTGGCAGCTGCCTGCTGTGACTGCTGCTGGGAAGTGACACTGCACTGCACACACAGACGTGAACTAGAGAC